CCAGACAGACAGACAGACAGACAGACAGACAGACAGACCAGACAGACAGACCAGACAGACCAGACTGGACAGACCAGACAGACCAGACTGGACAGACCGGACAGACCAGACAGACAGACCAGACAGACAGACCAGACAGACCAGACAGACCAGACAGACAGACCAGACCAGACCAGACAGACAGACATACGCGACCAAGGTAACTCCTACAAGAACTAGTTCACATAAAAACAGCACATAAATGAATTCCTGTTAAAATAACAAAAATAACTAGTTTGTTGGCTAAAGTTAGCTGTTGATGTATTTTTTATTTTTCTCCTTGTGGTAACCGATTACCCACAGGAAAGTCTGATTGCTGTATTTTTAACTTGTCCAATATTAGCAAATAAATTTTGATTGGCTAATTAATCTAACAACCTTTTACCAACCTTAACAACCTTTTACCAAAGTGTTGTGTCCAAAGAAATAAGTAAGTCTACCAAACTAAMTCAATAAAAAGGAATGTATTTGGGTGTAAAGGTCTATGAAATGGACTTTACATAAACTGCTATGAAATTTAAAAGATTAGAATCGTTATAAGTCCAAAATCGCTTGGTAAAAAAAAACTTTTGTTGTGTTCGCCACATTTTAGTTCAACAACAAATAAACAAACCCACTGCCTGGCTCCAACCCACGAACTCATGAAAGACATAAGAGAAACATAGATTGAAGTAAAAGAAATAGCATAAGAAATTTAAAAAACACATTACATATTAGGAAATATTTACACTTCACGTCATCATGTTGCTAATATCTGATATCTGATAAAACCTGACTGAATATATCTGACAACCTGTGTCTGTATCAAGGACAGAAAGAAATCACAGGTTATTTCAGATGATACAGCTCTCCCAACCAAAGTCAGTCTGATTTTTTTCAGTTTAAGGGAAAAAAAAGGACCTCTCTACAGCAGCTTGGATAAGTAGGTGGAGCTGCAGTTTTCCAATTTAGCAGAATTRGCCTCCCGGGCCAGCAGACTTGTGTGAATAGAATGGACTTTCAAAGTGGAAAACATGGTTCCATAACTCCAGTCTTCAAATTTTGAACAGCGGTTTATTTGAACACTATGATTTAAATCTTTACACTGCTGTTGCTTTTGAATTACATGGTTATTTCATCAGAAACATTTCTAAAATTTTCTTCTTGGCGTGACATCAGGCTGCACCAGAAGTGTTACAAGTCACAGTTCCTCCTCTGCACATGTCCAAACTATCTCTGTCTGCCACTATTTATCTCACAGTTGTTCAGCAGTCCTGATGTAGCCTCACTGTTCCTCCTGCTTCCCTCTCAGTCACTCACATGTACTCTGTGGCTGACTTTCAATCTTCTTCTTTCGAGACCATGCCTCTCCAAGTTCTCTTCCACCTGTTCCCTGTTCTCACCACAGATCACAGTCATCTGCAAGTATCTTAGTACACAGTGATTCTTGCCTGGCCTCATCTTGTTGACTGTCCATCAGCAAAGGGAACAAGGAGCTAAAGGTCGATCCTTGATGCAGTCCCACCTCCACCTGAAGCCATCTGTTACTCCTATACAGCAGGGGTAGGCAATGATCCTCAAGTGCTGCTGTCCTGCATGTTTTATTTGCTTCTCTGCTATTTTCCACCTGATTCAGAGATTGAATTACCTTTTTTTGAGTTCTGCAGAAGCCTGTTAATCACCATTCATTAAAATCAGGTGTGTTGGAGCAGAGAAACAAGTAAAACACCACTTCATACTGAGCTCAGATTTCTTACTCTGTACAGAGGGGGGAACGAGGTGGCCCGCCCACCTTTTCAAGAAGAAGACACAATATTGCCTTGTATGTATTAGCTCGGAGCTAGTGCGACAAACAAGCTAAACTGAGGTCCTCCATCCATTTTTTCAGTTGCAGACTGAGTTATTTTTGCGTTCCCCTCTCTGTCGACACACTCTGGTTTCATTTAAAAGAGTCGATCATCAGATATTGTCCAAGATTAACCTTCAGGGTGGATATAACTCGCTAGCAGCCTCCCACCAATGACCTATCGATGTCATCATTTACCCAGAATGCTTTGCGTGTAAACAAAATGGCCCCGTCCGTGTTAAAATATAATTTTAAACTTTTAGTTTAAAAATTATAAAAACTAAACAGCCTATAGTGTTTTTATAGTCTTTATTTTACAGTTAAATATATTTTTATCAAATAAAGTCTAATGTTACAACTAATCATGGATCCCTTTAAAATACAATGTGCTTCTTTTCAACATATTATTAAAAATTAGCCCTTCATTTTATGGAAAGACCCTCTTTATTCAACAAAAAACTCGGGTTTTTAAGAAAATGTCTGCTTGTCAATTAATCAGTCAATTGATGAGACCAATCAACTTYAGATTAATTCATTAATCGATAACTTGCATCCCTTTTTCATACTTCTTGGTCTACCAGTCAATACGGTCCTTCTCTCCCTCCTTAGTATCCAACCTCTCGTACCGCTCATTCTATGCTTCCTGTTTTACCTTTGCTACTTCCATCTTTTACCTACATTGCATCTCCTTATAATTCTGTCTACTCTCTTTAGTCCTCTTATACAGTAGTCTCAATTCTCTTTGGCTAACCTCTGGACAACATCCTGAACTTCATTATTCCACCACCAGGTTTCCTGACTGAAGATGTGAGAGTAAACTTTATTATTTTAGGACATTCAAGTCCTAAAAAAATGTTACTTTTGTCTTTCAGTCACTGCAGATACATGTTGGGAGATTTTTGTTGCAATGATGAAAAACTCAATGAGAAACAAATAAGAAACAATAAATGAGAGAATGTCTCACTCTGGTGGACAAAACTGTTTGATGCTGGTATTTTCTCTAAAAACTGCATAAACAACTAATTATTTGCAGTTTTAAGAGATGCTAAAGAGAAACAATAAGAAAAACAACACACGTCATTATACATTACAGAGATCAAAGTTCAGCAGTCATAAGAAATAACCCTAGAAAGCAGTTTGAATATGATACCTAACTAGAGGTTCTGGATGAGGCCAAAATTAKCTTAAATGAGCAACAATAATTTTAAAACAACTACAAATCTTTCAAATATTTTCGAAGGGTTCCGATGCAGCTACCGCATTTTTAACTAAACAATGGTCAACAAGACCAACACTAATGCCTGACACAATGCCATCAGCATATTTAAAATCAGATATAAACTTTTATGAAGTTAAAACCGAACTCCTCTTGTATTTTGACTAATGTACAAATATTTAAGGCAAAGTGTTTCAAAAAACAGTCCCCTTGTGAAAGAGGCAGATGTTTGTGTGAATCAGAACCACCTTCTCTAAAACTGTAAAACAACAGAGTTGGTCTTGTGGAGGATTTATATAAATTAAATAAATATAAAAACTCTAGAAAAATAAATCATAAAAATCTTATAAAAATTAACAGTTACTTTACCAGAACAAAACTATAAAACTATTAGGTGTGGTTTATTAAATATTTGATCTCTTTCGTCTAAGTGTCTGTTAGTTAATGATCTGATAACTGATCATCATATTGATTTATTCTGTCTTACTGAAACCTGGTTACAACAGGAGGACTCATTTAAGGACTAACTTAGTTAAGGACTTACTTGTTAGTATAAATGAATCCACTCCTGCTAATTATTTAAATTTTCATGTTCCTAGAACATCGGGTCGTGGTGGAGGAGTAGCTGCCGTTTATAAGTCAGAACTATTAATTA